GCTGCTGCTGCTACTACTACTACTACTACTTCTACTCCTGCTGCTACTACTACTACTACTACCACTACCACTACTACTACTACTACTACTACTACTACTACTACTAGTACGACAACAACAACAACTACTACTACTACTACTACTACTGTAATACTATAACCACAACTACTGCAACGAAGCCGACGACTTAGACGACTACTTTTGCGACTATAGGTCGTACAATTAAGGTACAGTAGTACTCGCAAGGTGCATCCGTGTCTCACACACCACCAGCAAGAGCGGCCCTCCACACCGAAGCCCGGCAGAAGTTTCAGCCCATAGAGAACACCGGCGATTACAGCTGCCGCGGTCCCGAATATCGTGGCTGCACTGGCCTTGTGAAGGAAGAATATGGTGGCAATCCTGGGTTCATGGGTTTCAGCCAATGACCGACGTTCCCATCATGTTTTCACATGCAGGATCCAATCGTCAAGGTGAAACACGAAACCCTTGGACCCTAAGCTGAAAAAAAAGGATGCTTCAGGAGCCAGACGCTTGTGCTTCGCCGAGCCATGCCAGCTGTGAGACCAAAAAGCGTGCAGGCGAGTTGTCGTTTGGCTCAGACAATAGAAATCGCCCGCTGCCTTAGGGCTTGTATACAGGGTTAATTAAGTGTTCAAAAGCTGCTTAACGTGTGTGCGTGGGGCTTAACACAGTCTTGCAGCACGGCCCGGCAATAAGCCAGTGAAAATCCACATGTTTACCTTTCTGAAGAGGAAAACACAGGTTGCCAGTCTATCTTGGAGCCTTGTTTTGTCATATATGGGCTTCGAAATCACACCAAATCGCCAAACCTGAAGCCTTGCACAATCTGAAGCCTTGAACACTAAATCCAACCACCCGCATCAAATCAGCTTTACTTTAGAAGTTAAAGCAAGGCAAGAAGTTCAAAATAGAATCTCCCCAAACCCACTACTAAGTCAAAATCTAGTACCTGAACAGCACGGAATTTAGGAATATCCCAAGCGCCAAGCTGCACCCCTCAGGGGCCTGGCGAGGCCTCGAAGGACGCTCCAAACCGGCGCTGCTCTTATCATCTCGGGCCTGGTGGCCTGCATCTGGGCCACCTTCAACGCTCGGATTCCTCTACTCTGGGCTCTTGTTAAGGGGATTTTGTTTTTAAGTTACCATAAATAGGGATCTATAGTAAATAAAAAGGTAATATGGTGTCCTTATTATGGTAACTTAAATACAATCCCCTAACAAGAACCCTCTTATCTTCTTCCGGGTTCCAGGGCCTTACAAAGCCTCTTCAGGCTCGAGCTCTGGGGGGGGGCGGATTTTCCGGCTTGCTGTTTTAGGGCGCCCAAGGCCTGAGGTTTGGGGCCTGAGCTGTGAGAGGATGTGCTTTATTGAGGGGAGGTAGACGTGATCATGTTAATGAGTTATAAGGCCGTATAAAGCATCCGTAGACGGATGGAGCTGTACAAACGCTGATGTCGTGTTTCGGGGGTCCACGAGAGCGTGGCGAATCTCTAGTACCTTCCTACCCTGAACCATAAACTTTAAACCACAAGTTCAGAATCTTCTGAATAACATCCTCCACTAAGAGCTCTGAAGCTCAGTCACACTTTTTGGGCAAACTCCTGCCTGTTCGCTTACTTGCTGAACCTGCCTTGATTGCGGAGGTTTCTGTGAAGCCTTAAGATTTATACGATTTTAGCCACTCGAACAAGGTGAACGTATTAGAACCATAGTGTGCTCAACAAAAATAGCCTCGTGTGCGCGATTGCGCGCCTGGCAGCCCAAAACTTACCAAAACGGCCCAGATGCAGTGCTACCAGAGATTGCGCGAAGGCCTGGCTGATCCCGCCTGACTTTGAAGACGACATACAGCTTCCCGAATGCCTGTGCGACAGCATTGCCTCAGAAACCTCGGATTTCCTCCTTTCATATACCGTCTCGTCGTCTGGGGTAGATATCCCATCACCGGGAAACTCACGCATCACCTCGTCTTCGGGATAAGGATCCACATCAACGACCTCCGGTCGCCCCACTTCAGGCACCCGCATCTCCATAGCCACAAGGTTTAGGGTTTAGGGCTTTGGCTGGCTGAGGGGGAGAAAGCGCCTAAGGCGCCGAAGTCTAGAAGCTGTATAAACCCCGAGACCCAAACCCTAAGCCCTAAACCCTACACCCCTGAACCCAGACTCTGCCTAAACCCTACACCCTAAACTTCAGGTCTCTCTTTACGGACTCTGTTTGTAGATCCTGCCGGCCAGATCGAGCTCCCCGAGTCTTCCTTTAGACTTGAGCCCAGCAATCTGGCAGCGCGTCTTCTGAATTCTTGTTAAGGAATTTAAGTTACCATTCTAATAGGGATCTATAGTAAAAGTTATATGGTTTCTGTATTATGGCAACTAGAATTACAGCCCCTAACAAGAACCCAGTCGTCTTTGGGGTCTGGAGGCTTACAGGGGCTGCTTCCTCGGGGTAGCTACAAACCTAGCCCTCACCCCTGAAGTACCAAAGACTTGGGGGCTTATTCCGGGCCTACCTACTTGGAGCCACGGTTCTGGGTTTTGCGGTTTCATTGTCCTTACCCGCCGGAAGCACAACAAAGTGATCATGACTGGGAGTAATCATCCCCGAGTGCTGCCCACTGCAATGCGTCTAGTCCCACTCCCCGTGCCCACAACTTAGAACGGCCTGTATATAAAGCTCTAGGGGACCTCGAAACCTGCTGCTCTGCCTGTGAGAGCCGCAAGGCCCTAAGCCCTAAACCCTCAGCCACAAACCCAAAGCCCCAAACCTGTTTAGGGCCTCGGGGCCTTGGGATGTTGAGGGTTTTTCCCCTCTCGCATGGCTGAGAAATACGCCCACCAGCGCCTGCTGAGGGTTTAGGGCTCAGGGCTTGGCGCAAAACCATCCAAGATAGCACAAACCTTACAAGGAAAGGGTGACCCTCTAAACCTAACTGTGAGTTTGCAAATCTACCACCATTTGCAATACTGTTCAGGGTGTAGAGGTGGAGGGCTTAGGGCTTAGGGGGCTTAGGGTTTATGGTATTTAGACTTTGTGAAAATAGTCTCCAAGGGAGCCGAAATGGGGTTCGTGGTAGTTTAGGTTAAAGTTTAAGTGTTGTTCCCCGAACCCGCTGCCCGAGCCTTCCAGTAGTCCGACACTTTCCAGGCCTTGACCGCTCCGGCTCAGAACCGCGCGTGCTCTCCGTGTAGAATGACAAACCCAACCAGGCCTGCCAGTCAATAGTCTGAGCATTAGTTTAGAAGGGCTGGAGCTTTACAGTCAAAAAGGACTACAGCATGGCAAGCATCCGCATTACTTCCAACTACAAAATCTCTCAAGCAAAACCTGCAACCGCCGCCCAAAACCCACGACGGCTAAATTCGGCTAGATAGCCAAAGCCTCACGACCTTGAATCACACAATCGACTGTGAGCGTGTGTCAAAACAGGCCTGGTCATAGATGATTTGGGGGATATTATCGCTGTGCAGGGATCTGGTCAATCTTTTCGAAGAGGTATCGCTTTATTCTTGTGAGATTATTAGTATTATCATTATTATCTATTATTGTTATTATTAGTCGTCGTCGTCGTCGT